CTCCCAAGGCAAGCGTGTCTGTAAGTGGGCTTTGCTGGGAGCCGTTCCCCGCTGGCACAGCAGCGCAGCCTGCGCTGTATCTCCTCCTGTCACAAGTCAAAAAGCTTTGCTTTATAAGGCTTAAGACTTTAAGTCTTTTTTTTTTTTTTTTTTAAGTAAAGAAAGTAAGTTGAATTGAGTTACTCTATGTGGTTGAAAGATCGTGCTCTTCTAACCCTTCCTGTGTTCTTACTCTCCATCCTACTCGCAACACAAAACTCGCGCTGGAGAGGCCTCTGACAGACACATGTAGCTTGTTTCAAAACATAACGCTTCTGCGAAAACCTCAACATTTCAGAGCTAATTTTAAGATCACTTAGAAATGCCAATTATTGGGGAACTCAGAAAAGACAAACCATTAGTGACAAAAGGAACACAGAAGTGCATAATACAAAATTTCAGTCTCAAATGTTGTATCCTAAGCTATAATTTTCAGTCATGTGCTCTCTTTACCTGCATGTTAATACATTAAACTTTAAACAGCAGCGCACCTCATTATAGCCACGTCCTTTCAAAACTAGTGGAAAATTTCAAATCATTGTCTGAGAAAACGTTTGAGAAGCAGAAAACGCTCCTCCTGTAAAACGTCCCAAACTAGAGAAGCAGAAATGGTTTTTCCCTTCCTTCAGAGCCAAAAGTATTTATGGAAACATCAAACATTATAAAACTAAATGCATTAACCATGTAGAGGGCAGCTGCTTTCCTTTTTCATCAGATAATCCTGCCCAACAATTTACTTGATAAGCTCTCTGTTTACGTATATTAAATACTTCAACTTAATCAAACAAGTCACATCGAGCAGAAAAGCCAATTTCACTCATTAATGAGAGTAACCTGCTCATGAGCTGTTCCAAGCAAACTGTCTAAAATTTGTCAGGCAGCCTGCTCCCAGGAGAGCCAGCCTCACAGATCTCCCCGTACCTGTGACATAACTGCGGTGCCCACTCAACCGTAATCCCTTCCGAGGTCGTTTCCCGGCTTTGATTAAATCCAGCCCGCGCACTCTGCGAGCGGCTGTTTTTTCCCTTGACTTATATAGAGCATCTCACATGAAGTCATTAGCTGGGTCACTTTCCCAAACCAGAACCCGGGATGATTCAGGTCGAGAGAGGCTGTTGTTGTCGAAAGGTTTATTCTTAGCGATGACCAGGGTTTGCAGTATTTACCGCGCCCCATGCCCGGGGAGGGATGGGGCCGGGGACTGATGAGAGCAGACAGCTGGCACAGAGGGACTGCGGGGAAGCCCGATCTCTTACAAAACGACTTCCCGGGGTGTCCGCCGGGGCTCTATTTATAACTTTAAAAGGCAAAACTTTGTTACTGACATGAAGCTGAGTCCGAATCCTCTTGGGGGGGAGAGAGAGAAGAGAATGTGCTTCTTTCCCAGTGTAACAAAACATGCATTTTCTAAGATTATATAAACCTAATATCTGAGGCAAAACATTGTGCCCTAAGTTGCTTTTGCACAGGAATCTTCAATGGAAGAGCTTTTTCTGTGCTTTGGAGAGTTAATAAAATAGGATATGGTTTTCATTTTATAGTTCTATTGCTTAACTTGTTCTGATGCCGGCTCTTAATGCAATTAAGAGCGCAAAATCACTTTCTACTTACAGGAGTATTAGTAAGTTGAATCATTTCACCTGTCGCCTGAGATTACTCACACATGAACAAATTCAGTGTTCCCCACTGCACATGCTGACCTTACTAAAACCTTTTGCAGAACTTTTAACATTTGTTCCCTAATTTTTTAATAGAAAAAAACCCAACCAACCACCTTAATCATGAGTTCTAATTTTTTATTACCTAAAGAGGGTTGGGTGGGAAGTTGTTTCCCTCCTTTTTTAAAATTTTATTTTAAAATATTATTTAGATCATTCAAAACAACCAGCTTCTGTGACTGCACTCAACACTTAGAAAGCACCAAGATCCCAGCCAGGTATGTTAATATGGGAAAGACATATGTGCAGACCTCCAGCTGTCTTACACTAGAGAGGTCACCAGCCCTGGCCTTTCCTTGAGCTCTGTCTGTGTGTTGTGAAGCCTACAGAGGGAACTGCAGGAGGTGAAATCTGTATTTTTCACCGTGAGAACATTACATCAATACCACAGCAGCACCAGCACCAGCTGATCAGGACTATGGGATTTGCCAGCTGTGAATTACCCCCAGGCCTCCAGGTGTCTGTGTTGCCCATAAGCTGAACTCCTCCCAGGCCTGAGAAGATGCTTTTGTTTACCTGACTGTTGTGGGAAGTATTTGTAGGTTAAGAAGCAGTCTGGATGTTATGTACTCAGCCATTGCTCACATTGAATTTCCATTTTAAACGCACACCTTAGTAAACAAGGGGAAGCATTTCTGCAGAACAGCAGTACCTTTCCATGGACTAACAAAGCAGAGAAGTGCCCACAATGTTGACTTCAGGAAAAACAGAAGATTTTTTCCCGTTGTACATCTCTACCAAGATGTTTCTATACAGCCCCATAAGTGTCACTGTTCTGATGCTATCTATCACAACAGGAAAATAACATTCTACATGTTTAAAGTAAATATTTAAAATTCAAGATACTGAACTATTTTTTCCCTTCAGCTTTCAAGATTGCTTCGTTTGGTACTACGCATTCCCCGCTCAAAGGAAGAGTTATGCTATCATGGCAATTTAATTTATACAAACAAAATCATTGTACAAACAAGACTAAGCTACCCTCAGCCTGCATGCCAATCAGGGGTTAGAAGATGAGGCACCTACAGAGCTAGACAGCATATCCTTAATTTTCTAAGACACCTCGCATGGCCTGGACAATTCTGTTCTCTCTAATTACACATTTGCTAGACCACCACTGAATGACAAACACAACCATCTCCTCTTACAGATCAGAAGTTAATTTTTCCTTACAAAAACCCAGCATAAATCTACAGTTATTTACATTTCACAGTAGAAATCCTGTTCACCTGTTTGAGGTCCAGAGATCTTTTGGATCAGACATGAATGACAATGAAACAATATAGGCTCATTTATTTAATAGCAGCTATTAAAGATGTAAATTAACCCTCTTTCAGCTTCCACTGTAACATGAAGGATGGAAAGCTGCTTTGCTGAGAAACAGCTGCAGCTAAAATATGGCAACGACCATAGAGAACTTACTGAATGCACGCACATCTGGCCACCGGCCTCCAGGAGACACAGATCTTTCAGCAGATTTGCCTTCTCCTCCAGGAAACTGTTAACACCCTTCAGCGGACTGACAGGCTGGACAGGTTGAAGATTCTTCTCCAAATTCCCTTTAAGAATCCAGTAGTTACGGGGCTGCTTGTGCGTTGTAGGTGAGAAGTAATCAAAGTAAAGGGCAAACGTTACAGAGGAGTTAAGAGGTAGTAGCAGACCCATGCTGTGCAGGTCCAGCCCAGCAGAACCACTCCCACCAAGACAGGGAAGGGTGATAGCAACAGCCACTCACCGAGAACAGGACTTCTGCTCTACGCTGGCATAAAGGCATCAACCTCTCACTGTTTCCAGTCTAAAAAATAATCAAATAATTGACCACCTGTGCACAGTCATGTTACAGCTTCACAGTAATCTCACCCTACATGGTCCTCCTCATGTCCCTAGCACTCCGGAAACTGATGGTAGCTACCTTGCCAAATCTCCCGGGAGCCGGAAGACGGTACCTTTCTGCTCAACAAAACAGAACAAAGCCAAGCCAGGCTACACTCATTTTGTTGGGTATCATAAGTGAAGCCCAAGTGCTTGCTGCAGACAGTTTGGTAATCAACGAAGCTGCTTCCCTGGAGCTTAACAGACAACTCTGCACCAGATTGACAGCATGGAGGAGGAGTATCTTCATCAGACATAAAAGAATTAGCACTGCTTCCCCCTTCTCCTTTTGCATGGTTTGGGAAAATAGCAGAGACCAAAGTAAGCAAGGAGGACATCGGTCATCTCCAGTACGTTGCCCTCTGGAGATAAGGGACAGAGGAGCCGCTTGGTCCTAGAACGAGACATCCTCATGTGGCCCTTTTCCATCTCCGAGGAGGTACTACATGAGTTCTGTGATACAAGGCACTACACAAGCAAACTTCCCTACATAATCCTCAGACACCTTCCCTTCGCTTGCATTTCTACCACCTGCTGCAAATGAATCAGGAGGGGAACATAAGATAAAACAGGTTAAAAAGTTATCAAATTAGGTCGTGCCCCTTCCAAAGGGCAGGACACTGCAGGTAGAGTAAAACATTGCTAAAATGACACATTCTTGTCACTAACACCCAGAAGGTCTGGCTTTGCTTGGAAAGCTCAAAGCAGGCTGTGATAATCAGCTGTGTGGTTAAAGCATTTTAACAACATCCAGCACTCCAGAATGCCTCAAGTCCATGTTCAGCAGTCTCAGGGGTTCTCAGGTTGCACACTGAAGGTTTTATTTTCAACGCGAAAATACAGGTGGTTATTGTCCACACGTGCACATGTAGAGGGCAAAACCCCTCCTCTGGGAACAGATCTGAGAAGAGCCTGCAAGGATTCTTACAGTCCTAAACAAAATTAGCAATTTAAAAACAGTGGCCCCTCCAGCTTGGGACCTGCTGTTAAGGCAAATGAACATACTGAAATTAATACAAACGCGTGGCTGCAAAAAATTAGATCCGTGGTTCTGAAGTTAAACTCCAGTAGCAACACCTGCAACCCACAACAGCATATTATAAGCACTGAAACGTGCACTTTCAAACAGAACAGAACTATAAAACAAGTGTACAAATCTGTAATAAGTCAAACTTTATTGTAAACCATTATACAATGTAATTACATCAGAAACCCTTAGAAGTTTAAGGTAACACCAATTAAACAATATGGTCCAAACAGAGGGCAGCAGAATACAGCTGTTGGTTTTGCTCACATAGGCTACACTCTGAATTTACTTACAAACAAACCCAACATTCAGTTTGTGACGGATACCCACGCAAGACAAAAACACCTACAAAAGAGTCCCTTTTTTAAAGATACTGCAGTTTTACTTTGTAAAACCATAGTAGTCATTTTCAGTAATTGAACTGGAAACTTTACCTAAAAAAGTTTGCACACCCATGCTGTAGATCTACTCTGACTCGATGTGGATGAACTTATTCGCTTTCATTACTGTTTTCTCCTGTAAAAAGCACAGCAAAGTTGCAAACATGGGTTAGTCAAGCACAGTGGCAGAAACTCCTTGCGATGCTCAGCTCCCAGCAGAGTGCGAGAGCCCACGCCCGCCTCCCCAGGCCCAGCTGGAACCGGAGCCGTCGCCTGGGAGGGGATCACTTTGCATTGCTCTAATTTGTAACTCAATTTCTGAGTTTTCCCTGAAGAAAAGCTATAGTACATCTTAGTTAGCAACATTAACATACAGCATTTATCTACTTAAAGTAAGACAAGGGGACCTAAACATATTAAAGCCAGAACTTGAAAACCACGTATTAGACAACGCCTGTATTTTAAATTTATGCAGATGTGTCACAGGTCAGATACTAGAAATGGGTAATACATTTAAGGTTGACCATTCGTGGTGAATTCCATCTCCACCAATATTTCCGTGTCTCTTTTGCAAGTTACAATCCCTTTCTCTTACTTTGGCATATACCACGTAGCTTATTTTCACTAAACAGAATCACATTTTTTTTTCCAAGCACAGCCGGAACTAAACCTTTGCTATGAGTTGTCCTGAAGTACATTTACCAGGCATAAATTCAGAGTGCCAATTTGGGGATAATGCAAATGTCACCGTGTTGTATAGTATTACTGGATCAATCCTTTATGAAAAATTTATTATTTCAGGCTGTACTGCCAATACATTTCAATGAACAGTAAGACATAGTGAAGCACTAGGCACATACTCCCTCCTCACATACACAAGCTCTTCAGACCAGAGCACTTCTGCTTATATCTACTAAAAGAATTCCAATTCTTATCTTACAAAGAGGAAAACTCTTTCACATGATAACAAAGAATAGAAAAAAAACCTCAAAAAGCCAGATTTATTTTTTTATTTGGCTATGGTTGGGAATAGATTTTTTTATCTTAGTAGAGAAAGTTAGATCTGTTTTTTTCCCCTCTGAAGACATACTCCTCCTGTTACTACCAGGGTATTTAAAATATTTCTGTCTCTTTGGCTCATAGTGCTTTACTACATCACTTCCCTAGGCATATCAAAAAATCTCAAACCAAGTGACATTTACGTACCCAAGACAGGAAAAACTAGGCATTCATATACCTTTGCTACAACCATCCTCAAGAAATTGCTCTATCATGCTTTATATTGTTTAGTACTTGTTCACTAAAAGTTTTGAGGTCTGCTCAAAACAAATATTTTACACGATTAAGGCCATAATTCCATACTGACACTTCACAGACTAAACATGAGACTAGAAACAGAAATAATTTGAGAATTTAAGTAACTGGAGAGAAGGAAGATAAAGTGAAAGCTCATACAGTTAAATTTGTGTGCGCTGCTCAGTTATCTCTGGTGGCTGATGAGGATGGTGATGGCTGTGCAGTGCTATGTAGCACATGTCAAATAGCTTTATTTCACTATCTGAAATAGAACGAATCCTATGCTAAAAAAATAAATGTTGACATTTGCAACAAGAGCCAGTCCTAGCTCTTAAATCCCTTTGGAAAAGTCAGCTGTATGAGACTATTCTGTTGATGAAAATGAATTCCTTGAACCACTGTGCTTTTGGAGATGAGCGGGCGCTCATCAGTGGTGAACAGTCAAGAGAAGATGCAAGTGACACAATCAATGAAAAGAAAAACAACAACCTAGAACACCTAAAACAGAGGCAACACTGATTACGGACATTTGCCCACGCCCTGCCCCCTGCCCTCCATTTCAGAATAACTCAGTTAGGCTTCCATTGTCATTAGTTTCTAGATTTAGTCTAAAAGAAACACTAGTACTTAAACTTATTGCAGTTATAACATTTCAGTGCACAGTAACAGAGGTCAGCGGCTCAACTAAACTTGCGAACGTTAGGTTTGGTAAAATGTCCCTCCCAGCTGGCCGGACACGTGGAGGGGTACCTGAAGTCTTAGAACACTGTGTTCACCTCGGCAGCCAAGCAGTGAAAAGGAATGCTGGAGTAGTGAAAATAAGTACAGGAGCGCACAGTTCAGTATTTACTAAGGCCCAAGAACCCCATTTAAGCGGGCTGGATAATAAATCACATTAAGACCTAGTAAATCTATAAAAAATGTAAAAAATCTTAAAAAGTTCTGAGCAGTTTTCCAATGAAACTGTTTGGTTTAAGGCTTGGAACATTTCCGATGTCCAGATTTGCAAATAATGTCTGTTGCCACCTCTGACACATCGTCTTATCCTGCACAAGATTTAACTAAGCAAGGAAAGCCGTCAGAAACAATCATTTAGAAAATACCCAAAGCAAAAGGATGTCACTGAAAACAAGTCTGCTAAGTTTCAGATCGGTACATGTTGTCAATTATCAGAAGACAGACACCAAAAATCACAAAAATTCTGTAGTAACAACTGGTTTATACCTCTCAGGGTTTGCTTTTTTTTTGTTTTCTTTTGAAGCGCATTAAAGAGAAGATTGCTTTTCCAACAAAAAGCAAGGGACAATTATTTGCAATATTGTAGCACAACTGCTTCAATGAAATCACAGTCCTGTATGACAAGCCCTGTATAAGGAAAAATATAAGAAATACAGTATCTTATCTGGGTCATTTGAGAGGTATGCACAAGACACTTGCAGAAACAGAAATAATTGGAGTCATCCATAGGTATTAACTTCACAAATAAGTAACCTATCACAACAGATTTTTGTTACACACTAAAGTGCACGTTTGTCAAATATGCAAACACCACCTCCTATTAAAAAACGTATTTTCAAATTATGTGGTCAAAAGCACGTTTAGGACTGCATTTTTAGTGATATTTGGTGACTTCAGCAGTGACGGAGAGCTTTTCCCTTTGCAATCCCTTTGTCTTAAACCAGGACACACGGATAAGTAAGATTTTTCACTACAAATCTTTTGACCTGTTCTCCACAGAAAAGGGAGCTGCACCCTTTTCTATGACAAAGAGAATATTTAAATACAACTGTATGAAAATATAACTTAAATATAAAATAGTCAAATAGATTCGAGGAGACTTGAAAAAAAAAAAAAAATCTTTGTTCCACCTATTAGTTCCATAGGTACCTGGTAGCAAGTAAACATTTGTACTTAAAAAAATAACATTAAGTTACAGCTTGTAACCATAAACTATTCTGCTCTAGGAATTATGCTGCAAAAGCCAGTTTTAGTAATAAAACACACTCCTTTAACTTAGTTGATTCTGATGCGTTTATGAGAACATCTTAATCTCTATCATCAGTAACCACAAAGTGAACGATTGCTGCATCTGTTTTCTACCTTCTTCTCTGAAACACCAGATACAAATCCCACAGCAACTAGTCCTTCACAACGCTGTGTTTTTTCACACAAAAAGACATTCTTGCATAATTGGTCAGTGTGTCTGTAGTGCAACTGAACTGGAAGTCTTCCAAGCATTTGCATTCTGTTGGTAGACCTTGCTTTTAAGTCAGTTTGTATGAAAAGGGAGATGCGATTGCAACATTAAAACCCACTGACTGAAGTTTTTGCCATGAAACCTGCAAATACACAGGTCAGGGAATGTGTCATACAGGCAGACCAAAGCGATGCTTCTTTTTCTTAATGGGCTTTAAGTTGGTCAGTCTACGCAGGTCCTCGTCAGCATCCGATTCCTCCATCTCATCATCTGCTGAAATAAGGATCTAAAAAGAAATTACGGCTTCTGAGTAACAAGGATCAGAGTCGCCCTCTTTCCTTATTCTACTTTTAACCTCTTACTTTTTTTTTATGCTTGCAAATTATCATTTTATTATTTGCTCAGGAAGGGGCTTATAGAACATAATATGGATTTACTGTCAAAAAACATCACATGTCCTCTCTGGAACCTTCAATAAAATTCCAAAGAGGAATGTGCATTAATCACTACTACAATCACTGACTCTAAATCCAAAGAAGTGATTCCAGTACCTCCAGAGCAATGAGGGGAGCTTGTCATTAAAGTGAAAGAGAATTTACCCATGCTGGAAACACAGCAATTATTTTATTAGAGGAAACCCCATATAAATAATACTGTCTATAATGCAGGAAAGTTACGTTAACCAACTAAAGCTGAAACAACTTGCCTTCAAAGATACCACTCATCCTTCAGATGAACTGAAAACTGTCCACTTAATACAAATTAGAATAAAATTATGCTACATCAAAGTTGTAAATACTTCCTCAAAATCAGGCCAGTTGCCTCTACCAGTTTCCCCTCACTTTAAGGTATTAATCTCTCTTTGAATTAGAATTGTCTATTAGTTTTATATTCTGTGTGGGTTTTTTCAAAAGCATTTGTAACACAGTTCACCTGTGATATTTAAATATACTATTGTCTTCCTGCCCATCTGGAAGGAAATTAACTACCACGAGAGGTACACCACCACCATTTTTCTTAAATGGTTTTCAACTGCAAATGCTGGGAACTACTATTAAAGGTTCATGCAAAGAAAAACAAAACTAAGTTGACAGCGTTAAAACAAAATCAATGGCATGAGGGATGAATTGATACTGTATTAATTGTAATAATTAACTCTACATACTTCTGACTCTGACTCTTCATGTGATGCGGCTCTCCTGTATCGGACTTTACTTCCATTTCTGGAATCTTGTCCTGCTTCCTTTTCCTCAAGTTTAGCTTTTGTCTTCCCTTTCTTCATTAGAAAATTATCTACTACCCAGAACATGAATGCCTGTTAAAGAGAAGGGGAAGAGACAGTTGAGTTTTCCTCAGAGTAGCTTATGCTCATCCAGTCAGTATTTGGACAGAATTAGGAAAACTTGACAATAATTCTGAATTGGCCAAGGTAAAATCTTGTATAGGCACAGAGTTACATGGTTTGTTACACCTGGGACAAATACTCTACAACATAGCTTCTTAATGCCTTTGCAGAAAAGAATAAGAAAAGTAGCTGCTATTTAGAGTGACCATGTACAAATGTGAATGATTTAGGCAGACATCTCAGTGCAACAGGCTTTTAGTTGTCAAAGGATAAAATCCACACTTGAACAAACTGAAAGTAAAAATCACCAGCAGTTATTAAATGCAAAGACAGCCACTACCTTTGGCTCTAGTCCCTAAATTCCAGCTCAGTGGAAGAGTATCCTTTGGGAAGGTCGTCTGTGCACTTGCTCTGCCCCCCTGTAGGCCAGCCACCATTAGCTATGGTCAGGCACAGGATAATTCACAGCACAGCTATCCTTAGACCAGCTATTTACTAAATCAAATCCCATTGTAATTTTCTAATCTCTGTGTCAATATTTCAGTATTATGTATCTACTGAAGTCACCAGGCCAAAGAGGTCTATGAGGCATTTCTGCACCTCTTCGGAGCCTGGCTACCCAGCTCAATATGGATTTCAGCTTTGTAAAAATCTACATATCCAGACATTTTATCCATTCTTTATCATCCTTCCTCTTTAAAAATTAACTTAAGCACCAAAATAAACTGTGCTTTAAGGACTAATGTTAATTAATTAACACACAGCAGAAAGATACCCAAGTAAACATTTCACAGAAGTGTGCAAGTTGTACTAACATTAACGAAGAAGGGAACTATCAGCATGACAATAGCCAGCTCCAGCTGGGGGTTCTCTATAGGATTCCATAAAGCTACCTGTGAAAAGAAAAGGATTAAGTTCAGACCATGGCAGCATGTGTACATAATTGGATTAGTAAGCGCGATTATTCATGTGCTAGCTAATGCTACAGAAATAATTCATATGAACCAAAAAAAGGACAGCCTTGTAGAAAAAGAAAGTACTTAGAACAGCTTATAAATTACCACAGATAAGTAAGTGGGGCTGCCAAGAAACTTATCTCTGTCATTTTTGTTTACAGAAGTCTGAAGAGTTGTGTTAGCACCATCTTGAACATTTTAGAGCTGCATATTCCCCAGGAACATGTTTTGAGTTCCATCTTTATGAAATTTAAACAGAGAAGAATTTTACAAAACACACAGTCAGGAGAAGACAGTTTCCAAAGTAGTTCAGAGCGTACAATAGGGACTAACTGGTTTTAATGGGCTGTAACACCATCACTTCAAATATTGATAGGATATTTGTGGCAATGAATGCCAGAGAGCCTAATTAGCAGTATCCTAATCAAACTAAAAGAACAGACCATTGTAGACAGTTATGATGCTTGAGTCAAATCAGTAAACGCTGTCAGTCTACTGCTTCACAGCTTCCACCTGAAATTTGTTTGTCTATAAAATGCTGTAAAAAATACTAACCTCTTTCCACTGAGGTATAAGCAGCACTATAATGATGATGGTTTTCTCAAATGTCATAATCATTATGTACAGAACACACTGGCCCACCCAAGCTCTGCACTGCACTGGGTCACCTGCAAGAAAGGAAACAGGTTCAATATATGCATAGGGCTCATTTTATTTCACAGTGAGCATTTCAGAAAAGCAGTATTAAAAGAGGCAGGGCAGCTATATCCTCTTAAAGTGCCTCCTCCAGTTTCCTCGGTGCTGATCCTTCCTCTCCTTCAACCAGGAAAGATGGGGAAGGACTCTTTACGGGGAGAGCAGTGATAGGACGAGGCGTAACAGTTTCAAACTGAGAGATGGTAGACTTGGCTATTAGGAAGAAATTCTCTACTGTGAGGGTGGAAAGTCACTGGCAGAGATTGCCCAGGGAAGCTGTGGATGCCCCATCCCTGGGAGTGTTCAAGGCTGGACAGGGCGTTGAGCAACCTGGTCTGGTGGGAAGTGTCTCTGCCCATCGCAGGGGGGTTGGAATGAGATCATCTTTAAGGTGCCTTCCAACCCAAACCATTCTAGAATTTATCTGATTCAGCAGTACCTAGTTATACACTCACTGTTTTACATAGTTTGATACAGTTGCATTACATTTGTTTCTCATCAAATTGTTATTTTTGACCCTCTATCATAAGTATTAAGTTCCTTAAAATGGAAAATTTAAAGGAAGCATAGCAGAGGAAAAATATACTTCCCTTCAGTCTAAGTAGAAACATGATTATTTCTGTCATTCTCCCTAAGTAACATTAAATATATTTTTCCTCTCTGCGAAGTTACCGTAACCAACCAATCATAACTGAAGCAACAGATGCAAGAGTTGCTATGAAAAAAATTCAATGAATAAAAAATTAAGATCATATTTTAGTTTCAGTCGGAAAGGGTTTGAAATTCTGCAGCACCCCACTGTGGCAAACCAAAAACCTGAGTGCATTATGTTATCTGCCAGGACAGAATAAAGACTACAAATATTTGAACACTGAAACTTATGCAGACTATCATAGAATCATATAATGCACTGCACAACTATTACACACTATGAAAGGAAGAAAATAAGAGAAATTAAAAAAAAAAAAAAAGAAAAAAGATAGAACCAGTATGTCTAACAAGCTTTGAGGGTGAGCTTAAAGCAGCGCTTCACTGGAAACCAAAAGGAAGCCTTAGAAAAGGGTGTTAGCTTTTCGGACTTCATGACAGTCCTCTGCAACGTCTTCAAGGACAGCTTAAAACTTGTAGCCTGGGGATGAATATCAGCTAATGGAAATTCAGATGCCTTTAGGTATTTGTAATGCCTAATGGATAGTTGCTACTTCCTTTTCTGGAACATTTCTGAATTACTTTCAGTATTAATACTTGGTAATAGTCTTGAGACTTACTTTTTGCAGGTTAAATGCTGTGAAGAGAAACTGATTAAAAAAAGAAAACTTCCCAAAAAAGTTTTACAGTAAGAGCCAGTGATCAACACTCACTACTCCAAAGGAAAATGGTCAAAATGGTCAAGATTACAGCCATATTCTGCAGTTTATGGCTTCTGTTGTAAAGTTAGAAAATTTGAAAGGAGAAACATCAGTAATTCAGAGATCTTCTGAAGATACAAGGCCTGAATTAGATTTGAGAATTAAATTTTCGCAATTAATTTCTATACTCCACACTTTATTAGCTTCTCTAGTTCTCTCCACTAACTGGCAAATACAAAAATAAATAAATACAGCTTTAGCTACAGACTTACTATTGAAACTTCATCAGCCTATTCTAAGCTCTTTTCCAATCTGTATTTAATTTCTAAAAGCAAAGATAGCTATAGCAATTTTGCATCTATTCCAACTCCGTCACATGATATTTTGTATGTCGAAAAAATGCAAAACTTATACATTAAGTGTTGTGCACTATCACCAACGAATGATTTGTTCCATGATGCTTTTTTTGGAGAGGGCTGGTGGTGTTTTGGGTTTGTTGGGTTTTTTTTGTTTGTTGTTTTTTGTTTCTGTTTGTACATGGCTGAAATGAAAAGTTGTGTATACTGAACTCTACTTGAGGATTTTTGTGTGCTCTTCTGCTTCTACAAAATTATGGGATGTTGTCTGCCTTGAATTTACCACATCTTTCGACGGTCTCCCAATAGCAGCCTTGTAAAAAAACTTGGAGGCATATAGAGTGGATGGGTGGACATGCAATTCTGACATAAAGGAAAAAGGTTTCCACATGAGAGCAGTTCAGCACTGGAGTAGGTTTTTCAAAAGTATTCTTAAATCTCAACCCATGGATAAATTAAAAACCGGACTGGACCACGTCCTGAACAATCTGCTTTAGTGTTGAAGTTAACCTTGCTTTGAGCAAGAGGCTGGGTTATATGACCTCTAGAGGTGCTTTCTAACCAATTTTTTCCTACTATTTTATTAACTATACCATTCAAGAGAAAAAGTTAATAACATCACCACATCCAGGATGGTGTTCCCAAGAATCTTTGGGACATATGTATGTTCAAAAATTGAGTTCACAAACTCAAAATAGAACTTGAAAGTTAATATTGGAGCCATAAAGCTCTGATTTAATTTCTAGTCTCTGAAAGCCTCTCTCAAATTCTGATTTTATACCTGTTATATATAAATTAGACATCTAGAATAAACTAGCAAATCAGTAGAAATCATGTTACTGCAAGACAAACGCATTAAGACAAACTGAAAAATTCTGAATCCTTGGTGACAACTGTAGCAGCATTTTTGAAAACGCTGGGCAATGATAAACTAGTCTATACTAACGTATATCACTGTCATCAGCCACTTCGTAGAAGCACGTTTATAGCCAGCTCTTGAACAACATACCTGTGATTACTCTATCCTGTAACTTCTCTCTGTTCTTCAAATCCTGAGAAATTTTCTTGAGAAAATGCTAATTTGCAGAACTACTCCAAAATAATTTTTTTGGAAGTTTTAAGGGAAGTGCTATCTACCCTACAGAACTCTAAGCTGCTCTGCAAGTTGCAAAGAGCTAGAAGGAAAAGATGCGTCAAATACAATTTCTAAGCTTTGTCATCTGAGAAGCAAAGAGACCACAGCATGACGTAGTTGCCAGTAGAGTTTATGGTCACTAAGAGGGATTTAGTCACCTGTTTTCTGCTTGCAGCAGCTAAAGTAGCCTAAGACAAGAAGGGAAGGAGAACGCAGGGAACATTCTTTTCAGTACAGGTCATGACTGCTTTTCTCCTCTGTACATACTCAAATATATTAACTGATTCTGCACTTCTGTGAAAAATCTATCTGCTGATGTACTGAATCTGAAAATACGAAGACAAATACAATAAACATTTTGCATAAAAAGCCCCTGAGGGAGCGTCACGCTACTGTGTTGTAAACCAGCATGCAGTGCTGTTTTGTGTACAAACAGCAACCATTTATGAATGCTGAGATTCTGGTATGCATTCTTTCTTTGAGGCATTTATGCTTAAAAACTATCCTCCATATAAAGAAGTGGCTTTTAAAACCAGCAGGACACTGCTATTTTTTGCGACAGCTTCAAGTCATGGATCACCAGGGATCAAGTAATAGAGCTAAGAAGGGAAATGAGCTCACAGCAAGAATTAACTTGAGACAAATGATTATTTAGGTTCTAGAACACAAACAGCATCGCTCCGTGTCAAGACAAGACTTGGGGATTTTTTCTGGTGGGGCAGGGGGCTCATTGGTTTCCCCACAGTTGCAAAAAACCTGAAATCACACTGATCTCCAAGGCGAAGACTTGACTACTACGGATAAAATGCCACAAGTGTCCGATACCTCTCGGTAAGCAGACCATCCGGGTGTGCTAAACACCCCTACTTAACTTCAGAACACCCTTGTGATGACACCAGACTTTGTATTTATAAGACAAAGTGGTTTATTGTGGCCAAAGTGTATTTTTTTTTTATTTTAATGGCGATATGAGGGTTTTCACTTACGAAATAACAGCAGTAATCAACAGAAGAGGGCAGCAAACATTCCAGGTCAACTTATCCTTTTTAGACAGATTTCTTACATAGAGTCTAACCTTAATGCACAGCCGTTCCATCTGCTATCTAGTTGTCTTTATACCAGAAGCCTTTCCTACATGATTAACGGAAACATAGATTTACAATATGCTTTTTAATAGTCCTTGTGATAGCAAGTCACAGAATCACAGAAGTCAGGACAGTGTATTAATGAAGATACGAAAAAGGAAGTCACCAATAAATGATCTGATATTGGAAAGAATAATTAAGAGGATTTATTTAATTTTATACGTTGCTTATGCACATACACACAGAAGAAATAGTTGATAAATAAGTGTAGGCATTTCAGATCTCCTAACTCAAAATGACAATAATTGATCAGCTGCAAACCATCTCTGCAGCAGAACTCAATTAACAAGTTAGTTGATCTTAAGAGCTTAGTTACTGCAGCTACAGATGCCTCATAACTAACTAAAATAAACAGATTTATTTCGGAAGTCAGTAAGAGACAGACAAATTTCGGGAGAGTGAGTTACACTTCCCACCCACACAGATTGCTTCTTGTTAAAAGGACATAAAAATGGCAGAGGAGAACAGATTACACCAGGAAAAACAGAATGCTATTAGGAAGAAGTGTAATCATGTCAAGTATCAGACTTTAAGTATCTACCTGTAATTGTAATAGATACACCAAGTTTTCAGGTTTTTTTTCTTGCTCTGAGTGTAAAGTCAATTTTATATGGGTTGAAAGCTGTCCAAACGTCTTTAAATGGCTTGGAGCCAAATGAACAATCGGAAAAAGGGACTTTTGGCAATAAGTCTCAAAGCTCAGTCAGAAGGTGCAGCTCAGCAATGTTTCAGTTCTTTCCTTGCCCTTTTCCCTTCCCCGGGCATTGGTGCTTACCTAAGCCCTTAGCGACCTAAGTCTGGGGAATGATCTGGAAGAGCTATTTACTTTTCTACATATGGTGAGTTTTCTAATGGTTTATCTCTCTGAATCAGTTCCCTGAAGAGTCAGATGTGCACCAGACCAGTCCAAGGAAAAGAGTGGAAATACTGGACAGTGGCATGTGGGAAAAGAAAACCAGATAAACAAGGTCATGACAGTGCTGATTTAAACAGCCTAAACGGTCATAAACTGTACCCTAAATGATGCACATTAAATCTACATACATCTAACACAAAATGTCCTATGATGTTATAGGCAGTTATTTCTTCCAAGAGAGATGCTTATCATCATCTCTATTTTAAACCTCTGACATTAAAGCAAATAGCAATTAATGCTATTTGATGTAACTGCAAACTTCCCAAGCTCCTAAAGTACTTCAACTTTATTCTCAATTCTATCAGCCACTTAAGAACATTAAAAACAAAGATACCTAAAAAACCAAAAAAACTACCAATGATAATTATGAAACAACCACCAAAGCTTTTACTTTGTTAGGCAAACGTAATTTTAACTTTTTCTCCCCCACCAAACTTTATGTTTTTTTGTCTCTGATAAAGAGCCATAGCTCTTACAAGGCAACCTTCGCCCTCATTCTTATTCTCAAGGAGCTTCAAATGTAACATTTACCATCTATACAGAACTTCTATTCCCAATCACCCAGGCAAAGCAATCTGAAAAGAACAGGTTGAACAGAATTAAGCACTGATGTGCAGTGTATGTGCTACTCGACCACATCTGCAAATCCACAATTTCTGTGGATCAGTGGACTTCCCTAACAGAAGGAAAACGCCACAACTTCTTGTGAAAGTGATTTCACTACTGTATCCCTGAATCTGTATGATGACATAGACATTTTTCATCAATGTTATATAAGCCCTACATGGAGGAGTCTGAGTGATCATTACTTCAGGATAAGCACAGCCCATCTTGCCATTTTTTTCACTGAAGGCATGTGGTTGTTTACTTTCAAGAGGGCTGGCAGAACTCTTTGCCCCTATCTTCAGACAATGGCTTGTGGTTCAGTGAAAGTTTTAATAGGAAATGACCTTCTAGCTGTCATTTATTTAAAAGTGTTTGAGTAAATTTACCATGCTCTTTTTTTTTCCATGAGATTATCCAATATTGTAATTTGTTCACTCCTTAAAAAAAAAATTCAAGCAGTTGTTCCAAACTCACTAAATGCTTAGAGACTTGCTGAGCTTTCTAACACTTAAACAAAACCACACAAGTGAAATATTAAAGTGTATAAAGATTTTAACTATCAACTGAAATATTCTGAGATTCTACCCTGAAAATCATTTCAGTGCAAGAAGAGAAACATTTACCATATTCACCAAAGCGCAGGGACTCCCACTGCTGCCATTCCACAATGCTGCTGACTGCACGTATACCAATGTAGATTAACAGCATTCCTAATGTGGCATCTAACAAAAAGTTGATAAGGTACCTGAAAGGAAAAATGTAAAAGAAAACAAGGAGTAAGAATCCGTTTTCTATAAGTTCAGTGTATTTTAACTCCACGAGTGATAAAAGATCTGTATATATCTTCAGAAGTCAGAGTATTGAGAATAATCGTTTATCCACTTCTGTAATTACATGGTTAGCCTAAAATTTAAATAATTTTAGAAGAGTCTCTTTTGTTTCTGCCCTTGAAGTTAAGCTCCAACTTCTATTTTTTTGAACTCTGATGTGTGCATGTACACCCCCTGTAAAACTCCAATATTCATTTTAATCCTTTAAATTAAAACCAGATTTCCTTTCTACCATCGCCCCGTTCATTCTACATGGGAAACCTGTTTTCGAATAAAACTGAACGAATAAAAAGAGATGTTAAGTTAAAGACACCTCAAGGAATCTGAAGGCAAAAAACCCAACCCAAAATAATCTCACTCCAAGAAGGAAAGACACCATGACTACAGAGTTTTTCTAGCTCAAGGGAGTTGCCCTCCTTAACCTCACAAGGAGGAGTGGAATACCATGCCTAGGGACTAGAGTCACTATCCAGGCCAAATTTCAACTTACTAAGCATCAGGAAGAAAAGTAATTGACTTTCATGCACTTTGGTTCTTGTTCAATAAAACATTTGAAATTATCAGGAACAAGCCTGCACAGTAAAAAAAACCCAAACTAATACAAAAACCCCCACACAAACCAAACCACCCCTCAGTGGGCACTCAACTACCACCTGCTAATTTTATTTTAAAGAAGAGCTTCTGGGATCTTACCTATGCACCAAGAACCTACAGATTACTAGGGGTTTCAGATTAATTCTTAGGTTCATTAAATGGTGCAGCTGAAATGCAGAGCATCTTCTAAGTCAGTTTGATTTATCTACTATCACTGCTTTTGGCTGAACAAAGCAGCTGGGAAAGAATCAGCTATTAGACACACAGTAAATCCCCGATATTGAGATTTTTATTTGGTAATTCTAAATACTTAATGTAAACTCTAGAGTCTATAGGAAGTTATGCACAAAGATAAAAATATCAAACCATAGACCTTGGAGCTTCTGCCGGCTGCAGAGACAGATCCACGTGGACAGAAAGAATATCAGAAAGTGGAAACTAAAGACAGAATACATGCATTCAGAGCAGTAAAGGAGGTGGAGCTCTCCTGACCCTCAAAATTCATTCCAAGAGCAGCTCAAACCCAAAAATGAAGCACGCATGCCTTGCTTCAGCCAAGACTTACCCACAAACCTAAAAAATAGTTATTTTCTAACAGCTGTGTGTCAAACCAGAGTTTTCACGGACTGCGCACCAGCCAAACGGCGAAGGGAGGGCTTGGTGCCGGCCGAGGGAGCTGTGCGCAGCTCGCTGCGGGGCCGCCAGGGGCT